CCCCAAAACCCCAAAACCCCAAAACCCCAAAACCCCAAAACCCCTAAAAGTAATTATTATATAGAAAATTCTTAAGGCAGCAATGATGAAAATAGACAACGTGACAAGGAGGTTGCTAAACTACAGGATGACATTTGTTGACCTTAACATTCCTTTCCTGGCTCTAGCCCAACTCTTCATTGCGTTCTTTTAGGACCTACATGGCTCCAACGATTAATAATGGACTCGGAATGCCACGCACATTTGTTTTAGGGATGCACAATCTTTGGGTAGCATTATTATTCGGATTCTTCGCTTATATGTCAGGTAAGAGCTTTAAGCTCACAGTAAGAAGTATTCACCATGTGATTTTATGAGGCATCCTACATGTTGCAATGGCATCCCAGTTCTTCTCAAGAGCACAGATCGAGAATGGACCTTTCATTTCAGCTTGCTACCAACCCATAGTTCCTGCCATGAGTACGATGGCAGCTATATTCCTGGGACTTGAGAAAGGATCTGGCTTAAAATATATTGGAATCGTGCTTTGATTAGTGGCTAGCATGAGCAGACTTGTCTATGATCTGATCTTCTCTGAGGTATACCTTGACGGGGATCAGTTCAGAGGGAAATTATACATTCTCATGAACGTGTTCATGCTTTCCATTGGTGTTTTCTTCCAGAAGAAGGTCATTCAGCATAACCCTGATAGCTCTTTAATGGTCCTGATATTTTATATATTTATTGTTGCCTTCTTCACACAGGTAATAATCTTTCAAATAAAGTTTGCTGGAAGTAGAGTTATGAAAGACTCCTCAGATATCACTGTTGAGGTATGGGACGTATACTTCTCCTTTGGCTACTTCGTCACCTTGCTGAATGTGCTGACGATTTATATGATGCTTATCCTCATGGAAGCTTACCGATATATAGCATTGATATATATTAACAAGAAAGGACAAATTTCTAAAGTAACCATTTTTGGAGCCCTACATGGCTTCTTTGTGGTAATTATAATATTGGTTTTCGAACAGACTTCTGTATTTGACAGGATTTTCGTTGGGATAATTACTGTTGCTTATTTCCTACTCTTCATTTCCAAGTACGTGCAGTCCAGGGCTGGAAAGAAGTCTACAACAGGGAAGAAACTCATTTTTAAGAGGATTTTCAGGAGGGAAGAATTTGCAACACAATTAATATCAGCTTCAAAAATACAAATTAAAGATAACTACTACCACTCCTCATTTACGACAGTTGGGAGTGGTACAGGCGATCGTACCTGTAAGTTTTATTTTGATTACCGGTAAATTTGTAAAAGGAATCACCAAAATACTATTAATAACTGCTGAATCTTGGCAATTATTAACGTCTATAGCTGTTTTCAGTAACTATTTCCAGGCGAGGCCAACAAAAGTAAAAGCATCGAACTACGCTCGGATTACGAACAAGGACACAAAAGAGGGTGGAAAGGCAAATCTAAGTGGTAAGGGGTTCAGAATAGCTTAGGCCATGTCCTTTGCACTTAAAAATACCATTTTTATACCGAAAGTGCTTATTTTGAGCCTAATCCAGCCCAAATTCTGCTTAAACTTCCTTCAGGATAACCTTTATCTATAGTCAATCGTGCAAGCAAGAAGGATGCATCTATCAATATGTCCATAGCTTCAGAGAGTCAGTCTGAAACTTAAATAGGAAATTCAATTTGGCCGACTTGGCTGGGGTTTTGGGGTTTTGGGGTTTTGGGGTTTTGGGGTTTTGGGG